TACCCCTATCACTGCATTCTGACCATAGTAACGAAATTCTGACTCTACTTACTCTATATTAAATTTAAAATCATTAGCAGAAACTAACTCTGTAGTTTTCAATATCCTGAATTTAAGATTTATGAAATTAAGGTCGTCTTATATAAAAATGTACTCTTCAAGTAGATTTGTCTTATTTTTTAATTCTGCTAAATTTCTTTAGAGTATATACGTTTTGAGATCTCTATTTATGTAGAATAATCTTTAGAATTGACATTCTATGGCAACTGAAAATATAAGTAGCTTAGAACTGTTATATATTTCCTGCAAATCTGTCTTGCCAACTTTCTGAGCCTCTTTTTCTTTTTTCAATTTAGGCTCGATATATGTAATTAGGTTTGATAACGAAAAGAATTTCTATAACTATTTCTTTTATACTTATTTATCTTAGTCAAGGCAGTCATACATTCTTAACACATATTTTGCAAACTTTTTAAAGAGTCTCAAACTCAATAAATACTTTGATTTTACAATGTAAAATGAAAGCCACAAATTCTAATTATTTTAAAGTTGACCTTCTGTTTTAATCTAAGTTTTTATGGCTTAGAATAATTTTTTACTTTCGTAATGATTTCCAAGTTCAAAGTACACTCTAGCAAGTTATATTTTAGATTTGACATCTAAGACTCTATTGAATTTAAGGTGATTCCAGGCAACCATTTCTTTGAGAGTTTCCAGTACTTTAAAGTAATATCCTGATTTGTAGAGCATATGAACTCTAAAGTATTCAAGCTCTCTAAATTTTTCATTTGCTATTTTGTCCTTTAGTTTAGAAATGGACTCTTAATAAGTCTCAAGCAATTTCTTGACATTCAAGTAATTAGTAAACCATACTTGAATCTTAATTATGTAAATCTAAGCCTGCAATGCATTCTAGTAATTTTCCTACTCTTACTATTCTTTGTATATTCTTGAGAATTCAATTAAAGCATCTTTCTTATTTTCTTTGAATAAGGATAAACCTTTACTGAAAAGATTTATTTCAATATCTGGAAGTTGTGGTTTCAAATTAATATATAATTTTTGGACAGATGAATCCATTTAATAAATTTATTATAAGATTTGCACAACCACATGCTCATTTAAGACATTTTTATTCGAATGGGGTTTTGGGGTTTTGGGGTTTTGGGG